TGGCCTCAGAGGCCACGTAGGTGAGGCGGAGCTGACCACGCTGCTGCAGCTCATGAGCCAGGAAGTAGCGAAGAGCAATGTGCTTCGTTCTGTGCTCCATTCTGTGCTCCCGACACAAGGCCAGCATGGCCTTGTTGTCTACGTACAGAACTGGAGGAGAACGAGGCGGCTCTCCTAGGTCAGTCAGCAAGTAGGTGAGCCAGCGAAGCTCCTGCGCAGCCATGGCCCCCGCGTAGATCTCAGCCTCACAGCAGGAGGTGAGAACAGAAGACGAGCGGGTAGACCGCCACGAAACAGAGCCGGAGCCAAGGCTGAAGGTGTAACCCTGTGACGACCGCTGTGTCGGCTGGTCGTCAGCCCTAGAAGCGTCAGCGTGACCTGTGAGGACCACTCGACGTCGCCCTCCAAGCACTAGTCCCATGCCCGACATACTGCACACGTAGCGCAACACCCTCTTCGCTGCAGCCATGTGCTCTGGTCGGTGTATCCCAGGAGCAACATAGCGTGCCAAGATGCTAAGAGGGTATGCAAGGTCAGGTCGTGTGCAGGTCATCAGGTACATGAGGCAGCCAACAAACTCTGGGTACGGGTCACTCGACTCTACGGACTCATCCGAAGGCAGAGTTGAGAGCGAGTGGCGAATAGACAGAGGAGTGGCCTGAGGCAAGGAGTACGTGAAGCCGAAGCGCTGAAGGACCTGCTGCACCATGTGTGACTGAGTCAGGGTAATGGTGCGGCGTGCTCTGTCCTGGGTGATCTGCAAGCCAAGGTAGCTGCGCAGTTCACCCAGGTCTGTGCACGTGTGTTTCTTCTGCAGCTCGGACTTCACGTGGGCGAGTCCAGCAGTGTCAGCAGTGGCAAAAACCAAGTCATCGACGTATACGAGGATGTAGAACGGCGGCAAAGAGGTGTCGGTGCGCAGAATCAGCGACGGGTCGGCTGTAGAAGGAGCAAACCCAAGAGCCGCAAGTGTAGTCCTCAGTGTGTCGTGCCACTCACGGGGCGCCTGGCGGAGACCGTAGACTGGCCGCCGGAGGCTCCACTGGGTACCAGGAGGAAAAGACCCAGTGAAGCCAGGTGGGCGGCGCAGCCAGATCTCCTTGTGCAGGCTGCCCTGCAGGAAAGCAGTGCTGAAGTCAAGAGAGTGAAGCTCGCAGTCGCGCTGAGCGGCTATGTGCAGCAGCACCCGAAGAGTGGTCATCTTCGGGGTGGGAGAGAAGGTCTGAAAGTAGTCAACTCCCTGCCGCTGACTGAAGCCTCGAGCCACGTAACGCGCCTTGAAGACAGGCGGAGAACCCGGCGGCCGCTTCACCCTGAAAATCCACATCCCACTGACGATGTTCGCCCCAGGTGGGGGAACCTCGTCGACGTAGGTGCCTGTGGACTTCCAGGAAGCCATCTCTGCGTCCATGGCTTACTGCCACTAAGAGGAGTAGGGACCCTGGATCGCCTCAGCGTACGATCGAGGAGTCGGGATGTCTCGTGCATCCGGATCTCCCTCAGGGGCAATCAGCGTGGACACAAGATAAGGCAAAGCAGCAGCAAAGCACTGGAACTCCTCCCGCCTGTCCTCAAGGACGTCCGTGCTAAGAGCACACCCACCCCCGACGGACGGAGGACAGACAGACTCGGACTCAGCAACAAGACTAGTGGCGTAGTCTAGAGAACAGCGAGCAACGAAGTCGACAAGCTCAGCCACTAAGGCAGAAGCAGCAGTGGACTGAAAGGAAGGGTCAGTAACAACAGTGGCCAGGAGACGCGTGACAGTAGGACTGGCAGCATGAAGAGAGTCAGACTCAGGGTCAGCAAGGACAGGAAGAGAGGACTCTGGAGGAGACGGCAACGGGACATGAAGGGGAGCAGTGGAAGGACGCAGTGCCATCCGGTGTGTGCCCGGAACCGCAGGAGGACGCGGACGTGAAACTCGACGACTAGTGCGAGCAGTGCGAACAGGCGACGCAGGACGAGACGCAGGCTCACGACACTTAGCAAGACCTCCAGTAGGACCAGTGTACGGAGAAGGAGCAGGTACAGGGGAGGCGGGCTGTAACGGTGACTGCGACTGGACAGGCTGTGGACACTCTAAGGGAGGAGCAGGACCTGTAGAGGGCGGGAGACCAAGAACCTGCTCAAGGAGCGGAACGAAGTACGGCCGCGGCCGCGCAGCGCCTCCAGAACCACCAGGGAGAGCACCAGTACCCCCAGCGGCAGCACCAGCGCCAGCAGCACCTCCAGCTCCAACAGCGCCAACTCCAGCACCCTCAGACGCACCAGCGCCAGCAGAACCACCAGCGCCAACACCCCCAGCAGCTTCAGCTACAGCAGCTCCAGCAGCACCAACTCCAGCAGGACCGGCAGCTCCAGTACCGCCAGCAGCTCCACCAGGACCAACTCCAGCAGCCCCAGCAGCACCCCCAGGCCCAGCAGCTCCAGCACCGCCAGTACGAGCACCTCTGGGACCAGTAGCAAAAGTAGTACCTCCAGCTCCAGCAGCACGGCTCCAGCGCCGGGCAAACCACTCGCGCAGCTCCTGTGGAGAGAGTGGCTCCCGCCTCGACGAAGCACCGCCGGTGGCCACACGAGCAGACCCAGCGCCCCCAGGCTCCGCACCCCCACGCTCCGCACCCCCAGGCTCCGCACCCCCAGGCTTAGCACCCCCAGTCTCAGTACCCCCAGGCTCAGCACCCCCAGACCCGGCACCCGCAGGCTCAGCACCTCTAGCAGCAGCAGAGTCAACAGCTAACTCGACAGGCTTGACTGCGTCTACCTTGAACACACCTGACGGGGCAAGACCCTGAGGGGGGAGGGGGTCTACCGGGGGAGGACCTGGTGCAAGGAAGAGCGGCGGCGGGGGAAGGGGCGCAGCGCGGTAGGGGAAGAGACGGTAGTAGGGCACCGACTCGTCAAAGGTTACATCCTGGGAGGACAGAACACGGCGCGAGGTGGGGTGGTAAAACTGCCAACCAGGCGCGTCAGGGGGGAAGTCAAAGAAGACGCAGGGAACAGCACGGGGGGACAGCTTGTCCGCAGACAAGTCGCGGACAAACGCCCATGATCCCCAGACCCGAAACGCAGACGCATCGCCAACCTTCCCCGTCCACCGCAAGGTGGGGGAGGTCTCTGGCAAGGAGACCTGGGGCTGAAGGTTGAGCTGATGCGCCGCGTACTGAACCGCAAACGGCCACAGAAAATGGGGGGCAGCCGCATGGATCATGGACGTACGAGCGACGTCTATGACCATGCCAATGCGGCGCTCAGCAATCCCATTTTTCTGTGGAGAGGCCGGAAGCGTGAAGGTTTGGAGGATGCCCTGTGTACGACAGAAGGCTCCCACACGAGCAGAGGAAAACTCCCCGCCTCTGTCAGAGTGCAGACGCAGAACAGGAAAGTCGGAGCCGAAACTCTTTCTGAGCTGGATTCGAGCTGCGCAGATCCAGTCGATCAACACCTCAGTGAAGTCGCTCTTGCTGCGCAAGGGGAAGACCGTGGTGTAACGCGAGTAGTCGTCAACCACCAACAGGAAGTAACGCTCGTGCCCCTGGCCACGGACACGGGCAGGGCCCCACACGTCCATGTAAAGAGTCTGCAACGGAGCCTCTGTCGGAGGAAACTCGGAGGAGTGAGGGGCGGCGCGCTGTCGCCCCTCGACGCAGGGGACGCAGGTAGGGGCAGGCCCTGGAGGTAGAGGAGGGAGAGACCGGGGGAGACCAGAGACAAGGACACGGTAGGCCATGCCTCCGAGACGAGGCAGAGAGGGGTGACCAAGGCGGTGGTGCCAAAGGAGAGTTTGGTGAGACAGGAGACGACACGAGCAGGGAGCAGACTCAGGACTAGACCTGAACACTGCAGCAAACACCTGACTCGAGACAGCGACCTGACCAGGCTCAACAGCCGGAGGAGACTCAGTAGTGAGGGTGTACAGGCTCGACCCCGGCCGACGGGTGAACGTGGCCAAGTGTCGGCCTGTCCGAGCACACGTGCAGTGGGTCACCCGCTGACTCGTAGGAGTGAACTGGTCAACCCCCCTATCCTGTAGATCAGCTCCACTCACCAAGTTCGTAGAGAACGAGAGAAGGTAGAGACCTGACAAGGTTCCAGAGAGGGCTGCCAGACACGGTAAGACAGTGGAGAAGCGAGCAAGGACAGGACCTCCAGAGGGGTCCGCCAGGGAGACCGCAACCGGCCGACGAAGCGGCGTAAGTGTGGTGCGGTCTCGAAAGAAGGAGCGGGAAGCACCCGAGTCAAGGGTGAAGGTGTGTAAGACCTGAGCCGACGTGGTACCTGAGAGGGCAGACTCACCAGCACCTGGGGCAGCGGACGCGCTAGCACCTAGAGCAGCAGCCTCACCAGCACGTAGAGCAGCAGTCTCAATGCCCGAGTCAGGCGGAACACACAGGTAAAAGTCACCCTCAACACTATCAGCAACAGCATACATGGCAGCAAGAATAGCATCAAAGTCAAGATCAAAGATAGCAACCCCCGCCCTAGATAGCTCTCCCCAGCGAGGGATCTGAGAGGCCTCAGAGAAGCTGGTGACGCCACGCGTCCGTCAGGCGGCCGAAGCAGCGCTGGGTGGAGTGCGGGCCCCCGCACTGCTCACCAGTGCGGTCGCCGGTGCGGAGAGAGTCCATCTGCCCTATCGCACTGGAGAAACAGCTGGAGGTCATCGACCCAGACCTCAAAGTCAACGGCACGGCCCTCAGCATCAAAAGTAAGGACACTGGGGGTAGCCATGACTGCAGAGGCCTAGTAGGGAGTGAGCTCACCAGTCCGAGGAAGGAGGGCCGGGGCGCACCGGTAGGAACAGCAGCAGCTCGACAGTAGGGCGGCTCGGCGGCTCGGCGGCAGGGCGACTCGGCTGCTGGGCGGCTCGGTTGCTGGGCGGCTCGGCTGCTGGGCGGCTCGGCTGCTGGGCGGCTCGGCTGCTCGGCAGGTGGGCGGTCCGGCTGCTGGGCTGCTCGGCGGCTCGGTCGCTGGGCGGCTGAGCGGTGACAGGGCCGCTAGGGGAGGGCGACGGGGCCGCAGGTGACGGCGACGGGGCCGCAGGTGGCGGCGGTGGGGCCGCAGGTGGCGGCGACGGGGCCGCAGGTGGCGGCGGGGCCGCAGGTGGAGGCTGCGTGGCCGCAGGTGGAGGCTGCGTGGCCGCAGGTGGCGGCGACGGGGCCGCAGGTGGCGGCGACGGGGCCGCAGGTGGCGGCGACAGGGCCGCAGGTGGCGGCGACGGGGCCGCAGGTGACGGCGACGGGGCCGCAGGTGGCGGCGACGGGGCCGCAGGTGGCGGCGACGGGGTCTCAGAGGGGCCGCAGAGGGTCCGCAAGGGGCCTAGACGGGGCCGCAGAGGGGCCGCAAGGGGCCTAGACGGGGCCAAAGAGGGGCCGCAAGGGGCCTAAACGGGGCGGCGACGGGGCCGTAAGGGGCCGGAAAGGGCGCCGCGAGGGGCCGAAAGGGGGCCGCACGAGGGCACTAAGGGCGGCGTGAGGGGCCGTAAGGGGTCGTAAGGGGCCGTAAGGGAAGCGCGAGGGGCCGTAAGGGGCCGTAAGGGCGGCGCGAGGGGCCGTAGAGGGCGGCGCGAGGGGCCGTAAGGGCGGCCAAAGGGGCCGTGAGAGGGGCCACTAAGGGCGGCTCGAAGGTAGGGAGAGCACACAGAGCGCGACTCGGGCAGGAGTGAAGCGGGCTCCGGGCAGGAAAAAAAAAGTATCGTGGTGGGCCCTAGGTAGCGTTCCCACTAGGGAACCTGCTCGATACCATGATAAGAAACGAGGAATGAATGCATTGAGGAGAATGAGGAGTACAAGTAGTAAACCCTAAAGTGTTGTACCCCATATGAACTGCCCCACTACAGCCTACACAGACTATAGCATATATGCCTGACACGTTTTTGGCGCAAAATCAGGAAATTAGGCTATTTTAAGCCGGAAATAGTTAAATCGATTATATAAAGATGCAGACAGCATCCAGTGTCAAAACACTACATTTTAGGTTGCTCCAACCCTGCTGGAGCATCAAATCCATCTTAGGTGAGAACTCTAGTTCTGGTGTTCCTCCCAGTAGCATTTTGTTTTTTAGGCACCTCAATTTAGACTCTAATTCCGGTGTACATGTGCTAACCTCTCTACAGCATCTTGAAAGCACCTGTTTCTGCAGCACACATGATCTCACTCACATCCCCACTGCATGCGTGACTCGTCTCAATGCTGAGCTGACCATCCCTTTCTGCAACTCCAACCCGACTCATGTGTCACTTCAGACTTGTCTATCCCCCACATGCGCTCCTAGAACATGCTGCCGTTGGGGCGACTGGGAGGCGGAGGCAGCGACTTTTCACCATTCCTGCAGCACCTTGGGATTGCCGCAGCAGACACCTACTTTGGAGGATGTGAGTTTAGAAGGGGGTGGTGGTGCGAGGTTTGAAAGGAGTAGTGAGAAAAGAAGAGGTGGGATGGTGTGTGGTTATGAGCAGGTGGTTTCTTAGGCAAACCTATATGTATCACAGACGGCTCCTGTATGGATCACAGCGTGTATGACGCCTATCATTAGATTGTTTCTATGTCGAATCTCCTCTCCCTCCCCCACTCTCCCCCCTCTTCCTTTCCCCTCTCTCGCTCCACCAGCCTTCCCCATGTTCCACAGTGTGTACGACAACTACTATTGGATGGCCGCCTTTCACTTGAGTAGCATTGCGTCGCCTCTATCACTCTCCCCTACCCATTCTACTCTTTTACCCATGTGTGACCAGCCTTCCCCATGTTCCACAGTGTGTATGACAACTACCATTGGATGGCCACCTTTGCCGATCCACTCTTCAAGCGCCACGTGGCAATCGCCAAGATGATGGCTGGCGTGGCTGCCAGGCTGGCAGGCAACCACCGCCTGCCCTTCAACTACACCGCCTATGCTGTCCACCTAGAGCATGACGTGGCTAGGCTGCAGGCTGACGTGGCAGAACAAGGCACCCCGTCATCTCTCTCCGTGGCGCTGCTCTTTGCGTCTGTCTCTCACCTCCTGGCTGCTGCTCAAAGTATTGAAGCGGAAATCAAGGTGTGGAAACTGGTATTCCATGTTCAGGTGTGGTGCACAGCGGTGGGGAGCACAGCGGTGGGGTGCACAGCGGTGGGGTGCACAGCGGTGGGGTGCACAGCGGTGGGATGCACAGCGGTGGGGGTGCACAGCGGTGGGATGCACAGCGGTGGGATGCACAGCGGTGGGATGCACAGCGGTGGGATGCACAGCGGTGGGATGCACAGCGGTGGGATGCACAGCGGTGGGATGTACAGCGGTGGGATGCACAGCGGTGGGATGCACAGCGGTGGGATGCACAGCGGTGCTTGGGGCATTGAATCTGCTCTGCACGTCTTACCAAACCCCTCGATTGTCGCCTCGTGTCGTCCCTCCCACCTTGCATCTCGCACTTCCCTCACTTCTTTCCTGCCAGCCCTCTTCTTCTCTTCACCCTTTCCTTCCACCTCACACCCCTCCCAACCAAGCACAACCTTCACCAACCCCACCCACACCCCTCGAATCCCTCCCCTCCCTCACCTCACCCCCCTTCCTTCCGTCTGCCAGAGAGCAGCACAGCGTCTAGCAGCAGTGCATGCAGGTGCACGTGGGGGAGGGCGCATCCTGGAAGGGCACTGCATCCACGTGCAGAATCAAGAGGGCGCATCCTGGCGTCCACGCCTGCGTCAGATTAGAATTACGCTTTGATTCGAAAGCTACATCCTCCGCTATTGCTTTTATACTTTCTAGGGGAGCCGCATCTCACACACACTCCTCCCATCCTCCCCCCTCTTCCCCGCTTCCCTTTTTCAACCCTCACAGGCAATCGAAACGAGCAGCACTGCTTGCCAGTGCAGGGGGGGAACGTGTCCTATGGAGGGCGCATCTGGGAAAGGTGGCAACTTCCCGGCGTCCTTTGACGGGGTGAACGAGCGCCTCTTTCTGGCGGAGCGGGGGTTCCTGGACAGGCATGGCATCGGGCCTCAATACACGTGGTTCAAGCACCTGGTGGGTGGGAGGGTCGTGTGGTATAACATTCTGTAGGGGTGGCTGAGTGTCGATGGGTTTGCTGTGGTGCGTGCGAATTGCACTCTATGTGGGGCAAGGGATTTGGAGGGGTTGAATGGGTGTCTGTTGAGTGGGCGTTCCTACACGGGCATGGCATCGGGCCTCACTGCACGTGGTTCAAGCAGCTGGTGGGTGGAAGAATGATGGTACTGTGAGGCGGGTTAGTGGTGTGACATGCATGTGGAGTGTGGTAAGGTCCACAACGGATCGTACTACACGTGGTTCAAACACCAGGTGCTTGGGAGGGAAGACACACGGTGTGAGGCAGTGAAGGGGTGGGTGCGTGTCGGTGGGTGTGTTGAGGTACGAAGCAGCTGAAAGGGTTGAGTGGGCGTCTGTCTCTGGAAACGAGGGGGTTCCTGGTCGGGGCACTATATTGGATCGCACCATGGTATTGGATCGCACAACGGTATTGGATCGCACCACGGTATTGGATCGCACCACCGTATTGGATCGCACCACGGTATTGGATCGCACCACGGTATTGGATCGCACCACGGTATTGGATCGCACCACAGTATTGGATCGCACCACCGTATTGGATCGCACCACCGTATTGGATCGCACCACTGTATTGGATCGCACCACCGTATTGGATCGCACCACCGTATTGGATCGCACCACGGTATTGGATCGCACCACGGTTTTGGATCGCACCACGGCATGGGATCGCACCACGGTATTGGATCGCACCACGGTATTGGATCGCACCACGGTATGGGATCACACCACCGTATTGGATCGCATCACCGTATTGGATCGCACCACCGTATTGGATCGCAACACCGTATTGGATCGCACCACCGTATTGGATCGCACCACGGTATTGGATCGCACCACGGTTTTGGATCGCACCACGGTATGGGATCGCACCACGGTTTTGGATCGCAACACGGTATTGGATCGCACCACGGTATTGGATCGCACCACTGTATTTGATCGCACCACGGTATTGGATCGCACCACAGTATTGGAACGCACCACGGTATTGGATCGCACCACGGTTTTGAATCGCACCACGGTTTTGGATCGCACCACGGTATTGGATCGCACCACGGTATTGGATCGCACTACAGTTGATTAAAGCAGGTATCTGGTGGGTTGGAGGGAAGAGTCACGGTGTTAGGTAGAGAGTGGGAGGCTGGGTGAGCTTTGAAACACGTCAAGCACCTCTTGTGGAAACGGCCCGAACGTAATCTGATTAATCTAGTGGCCCGATGATGGAACTGCGAGGTACGGTAGATGATTTGAACGAGGGTATGCTTATGGTGGCATGTGTGTGGAATACAGGTGTGAAGTGTGTGTGTGTGTGTGTGTGTGTGTGTGTGTGTGTGTGTGTGTGTGTGTGTGTGTGTGTGTGTGTGTGTGTGTGTGTGTGTGTGTGTGTGTGTGTGTGTGTGTGTGTGTGTGTGTGTGTGTGTGTGTGTGTGTGTGTGTGTGTGTGTGTGTGTGTGTGTGTGTGTGTGTGTGTGTGTGTGTGTGTGTGTGTGTGTGTGTATGTGTGTGTGTGTGTGTGTGTGTGTGTGTGTGTGTGTGTGTGTGTGTGTGTGTGTGTGTGTGTGTGTGTGTGTGTGTGTGTGTGTGTGTGTGTGTGTGTGTGTGTGTGTGTGTGTGTGTGTGTGTGTGTGTGTGTGTGTGTGTGTGTGTGTGTGTGTGTGTGTGTGTGTGTGTGTGTGTGTGTGTGTGTGTGTGTGTGTGTGTGTGTGTGTGTGTGTGTGTGTGTGTGTGTGTGTGTGTGTGTGTGTGTGTGTGTGTGTGTGTGTGTGTGTGTGTGTGTGTGTGTGTGTGTGTGTGTGTGTGTGTGTGTGTGTGTGTGTGTGTGTGTGTGTGTGTGTGTGTGTGTGTGTGTGTGTGTGTGTGTGTGTGTGTGTGTGTGTGTGTGTGTGTGTGTGTGTGTGTGTGTGTGTGTGTGTGTGTGTGTGTGTGTGTGTGTGTGTGTGTGTGTGTGTGTGTGTGTGTGTGTGTGTGTGGTGTGTGTGTGTGTGTGTGTGTGTGTGTGTGTGTGTGTGTGTGTGTGTGTGTGTGTGTGTGTGTGTGTGTGTGTGTGTGTGTGTGTGTGTGTGTGTGTGTGTGTGTGTGTGTGTGTGTGTGTGTGTGTGTGTGTGTGTTGTTTTAGTCACAGTAGGCTCCAATGTGCCTAAAACGAAAGATAGAGTGTATAGTCGGATTTCTGCACAGCGGCTTCAAACGTTCATAGCGTTCTGGTCGCAGCTTCAAATGACTTGATTCAACTTGGATCTGGAGCGTCGTATTGTCGCCTACACTAGGCAATTTAGATCGCACGATTTGATCAAGTATTGACGACACAGCGTTGGTTTGAACGAACGGCACTATGGCAGCCACTATAGTCTTAGAACACAAGATAGGAAGAGTTAGGGAGAGTTACGAGTTGGGAATGACTCCCAGCTCCTACAAACCCCAAGAGCCGAGGTACAGTGATGTGGAACAGTGCCACACTGTCCCCAACCACGAAGGGTCTCGAAACTACCCTTCACTAGGGCCTACACCAAGTGAAATGTTACACTACACAAAGTAATGTAACTATCCTCAATATCTTGAGGTGTACCCTTTTGGCGAGCTTCGAAATCACTTGAGGCTTGACACCAAGGCTCGGGCTCTTCATCACAAACTCATCCTTGAGTTCTTGTTGGGTCTGCTGCACACACCTGTGACACACCGAACGTTCGACACAGGACAAAATAGAAACCGCGCACGACAAAATAGAAACCGCGTAACACGCGTCTAGCGATAACTCGCTATTGACTCAACACACACACTCGACATCATGACTCAACATTCACACACAATTATAAGCATGAAATATGTATTATCCCATGCCCTCATACCATTCCATACACACACACATGCATGCACACGGACAACAAGCCGAGTGCAAACCATAGGGTTGCACCAACAAACTCCCCCTCGGATTGTTGGCCTTAGGATATGTTGCTCTCTCAGTTCAGAGCCATCCCAGCCAGCTTGCAACACTTCCAATGCTGCTGCTCCACCAGCCTCTTGGTCATCATGTCAGCCGGCTGCCCCGTGGTCTTCACGTAGCGCAACTCAACTTCACCCGCGGTTACCATGCTCCTCGTCCAATGCCACTTCACCCTCATGTGCTTCGTGAGTCCATGCAACACAGGGTTCTTAGCAAGAGCAATGGCACCCTGGCTGTCACAATACAGTGGGGTAGGTCCTTGCTGCTCCTCCCCCAATTCAGCCAACAAACGCCGCTGCCACACAATCTCCCGTACGGCACGGAAGAGTGCCATATACTCGGACTCCACCGAGCTCAAAGCTTGGTCAACCTGCTTCTTGCTCTCCCAAGCAGTTGGGCCTCCACCAACACAGCATATGAAGCCTCCCACACTTGTCATGTCCTCTGGTTCCGATGCATATGAAGCATCCGAGTAGGCGGTGAGGAACAAACGCCCGGGTTCAACACCATCCGCGCCCTTTTGGCGCCTTTGTGCCGCCGCCGAGTATTGCAGCCCAACGGTCGGTGTTTGGCCAAGATACTTGGCCACCCTCATTCCAGCTGCTACTTGCTCCTCATTAGGGCATTGCACAACCCTAGCCAGCTGCCCGGTAGCAAACGCGACGTCCGGTCGGGTGTTTACCGCCGCATACATGAGGCTGCCCACCAACGAGTGAAATCGGCGCCTCTCCTCTTCTCCAACGCTCTCCTCCTCTGGCCCCTTCACACACTTGAACCCAGAGGGAAAGGGAGTAGCCACATGACCTTCACTCTGGCCGAAGTTGGCAGCCAACGCCTCCAGGTACTTCCGTTGGTGCACTCGCATGCTCCGCTTCTCCACGTCTCGTTCGATGTGGAGCCCAAGGTAGAAGTTCACGTCACCAAGGGACTTGCACTTGAACTTGTCATGCAGCTTCAGCATCACCTCCTTCACAAGGTCAGAGGAGGGTGAGAATATAAGAATGTCATCCACATAAACCACCATGAAGCTCCTCTGCTCCCCCTCGCCAAGCATGAACAAGGAGTGATCGGCCGTTGAGGGAGTGAAGCCGATCTACTCCAACACTTCGCGCAGCTTCATGTACCATTGCCTAGGGGCCTGCTTCAGCCCATAGAGGGCCTTCTTCAGCTTCCACACTCTGCCACTACCATCATCAAACCCCTCTGGCTGCGCCATAAAAATCTCCTCCTCAAGGATGCCGTTAAGGAATGCCGTTACGATGTCCATTTGTTTTACTACCCATCCTTTGATGGCGGCTCCCGCGAATAGGGTTCGCAGCGTCGTCGGCTTCACTACAGGGGCAAACAGCTCCTTGAAGTCCACCTTCTCCTTCTGCTGGTACCCCTTGGCTACAAGCCTAGACTTGTAGCGCTCGATCTTGCCGTCGGCATCCGACTTGATTTTGAAGAGCCACTTGGACGTTATCGCCGTACGCCCCTCCGGTAGCTCCACCAATTCAAACGTGTCATTCTCCTCGATGCTCTTCAGCTCACTCTCCATGGCCTTCTTCCACTCCTCAGCATCACTACTCTCCAAAGCCTCCTTGAGAGTTGCTGGTTCTCCCGGCATCTCCACCGGAGAGAAGAACGCGAAGGCACATTCCTCGTAGTCACTCTCCTCGTCGTCTCCGACCATCATTGCCGCTCCGGCCAGGGCTGTCTTGCCTTGCTTTCCAAGTGCATCATAGGTCAGCCTATTAGGGGGTTGAACTCTCCTCTTCCCCCTTCCTTCCTCCTCAGCTGCAGGGACTTGAAGGCCTTGGCGTTGCTGCGGTGTGGCTCGAATCCGTGGAGCACTCGTAGTGCGGGAAGGGAGTGACGGTGCACGCTCGCTCACTTGCTGCACCTCCTCCTCTTCTTCCTCTGCATCATTGGCCTCCTCTCCCCCATTCACAAGGGAAGATTGCCTTGTGGTAGTGCTGTCGCTGCTCAGCTCCAAAGGCAGCTCCACATGCTCCAAACCGGAACTCTTCACCTCCCCAAACCGCACGCCTAT